TTCTACCCCCCCCCCCCCAAACCTCACTTGTGGAATTTCACTGGGTATGTTGTTGTTGTATACTACTATGTTGATTCATTAATTTTTCATAATTGTAGTTCGCATGACCGCTAGAAGCTACAACTTGCTGAGTCAAATATGTGGCAAATTTTATTAGCAAATATGAACACACATACGTATTTGCACTAACGTTATAGCTATCCATCATGACTAAACAAGTAAACTACACAAATGTTACCTATGTCCCGTTGAGGCAATTTTTGTGCACAATGGGCCAAATATAAGCGGCAATAAAACGATGCTAGTGGATCTGCAATGCCTCTTGCCATCATAACCAGTCGTGGAAGATTATTGGCAGGTTGTTCCGAAAGGAAACGCCAGCAATGGCATATGGCCAGCTCCAAGTATCTGTTCACAAGAGTATTTGTCAAACAGAAGACCAACAGAAATATAAACTCGTGAACAGTTTTTCAATTTTAAGAAAGAAAAGAAATGAAAAAGGTGATTTCGGTTTTCTCCCTGCAATGATATCTTGTATAGGTTGCAGACACTTCGCTTTTCTAAAGAAAAAGAGAAGAAGAGATCTGATAATTGATTACTCAATCAAGCATGTTGGTATTTAAATAGTTTTACAAATAAAACTTAAAAGGAAGAAAGAAATTTTGAGTTCTAATTACACAATCATAGGGATTCTAAAACCTTTTGCATATTTATAATGGGCTCTTGACATACTAACAATATTTAATTCTTAATAACTGCCAGAAACTGCTCAGCTGATATGGAACATGAGCACGAAACTACAAATACCAGAGGTGGAATTCTCATTGAAAACTTCAAATCATTTCAGTCTAGAGGAGGAGGCAGAATCTACCTTACTTTTATGATTATGATGAAAGCAGTTGCATAGAAAAGCCACATGGCAATGTATCCTAGATAATTTAAAATTCACCATGCTATCACAATACAGAGATAATCTACAGCTTGCATTCTAACAATTTTTCACTAGTGAACCGAGATCATCACTTTTGGAAAAATTCAAAGATCATTCCTTAAATATGTCAATTTCCAATAACTCTATAATGCTTCCAAATCCATTCCAGCATCTCACCTAACGACATTATGTTAATAAATAATAGACACCTTAAGATAAATTAAAGTAAAAAAAAGAAGCAGAATCACGAGTTATAAAGACACAGGCTAGGAATTGCAAGAACTGAGGACCTCACATGCGTGGCAGTAGCTCGCGGATGGAACCAACTTTGCAAAACCAGTTATAGCAGGTTTCTTTGGCTTCAGCACAGATTTCAGTTGCTTGAAAGTTACCTGTTACAGATCAAGTGCATCTTTTAGTAAGAAATGGGACTCAGAAACCAGAACAGTTACATCAAGGATATCAGAATACTGAAAACAAAGAAGAAACAAAATTTGGAAAGATATCTTAGAGATTGGTATACTAAAGACATTGAAACCTTGTCCTTCAACTTAAAAATAAAATTTTACTAATGAAAAAAAAATCCGCGCAATTCTGATTTGGAATGTTAACAACACCACAATTAACTTATCCAGCATCGCTTCACCATATAACCATCCTCTTTGACTATGATTAATTATAATGAGAATTGGAGATCCTTAAGGTGCCAATGTCAGGCTTAGCAATAAGACAAATTTCATAACTTGTTACCGAGATATCTACTATTCTAACCGTGGGCCTAAGGATTCTACAGTCTTCCATTACAATAAACAGTGGCAGACTGCTCTAAGTCATCCAAACAAAATCAATTAGAAAATCTTACAAATTATTTCCAAGTTGATTTATACACAAGGATGATGACAAACTTATTTTACACAAACAGTACATTAGAGACTAAATTTGAGTCACAGTAAAAGCACATATGACAGCAGTGGACACCGGATACTGGTAACTAGGTGCCAGTTGGCCACGAGGAAGCAGAGCTAGAGGTAAATGTGAGGGATATACCTGGTAAATGGACTAATGTCCCATCTTCAGTATATTCAGCTTTCTGCCTGATGCGTTCCCATACCATATCCCCTAACATATCTAGTATTTCTGTAGCTAGAACAAAAAGTGTTGGATACAATTGTAGTACAGATGTGTCCGACAGTAACTTAGCAACCTATTCAAGAGAAATCAAGACACATTTAGCTAAGAAATGAAAGTAGAATTGCCAACAGGCCACGTGATGTTATAGAAGAGTCTTAAGTTATTATATCTGTGGTTCCATTAGACCAGTTAACTAATTTGATCCTTCATATTTTTATTATTTGTTTTACTGTTGAAATCAATGAGAAGAGAAGAAACGTATACTGTTAAATGATTTATAAGAAAGCAATTCAATCATGTTCTTTTTACTGTTTATTTTTCTTGAAATTATGTTGATCTATCAGATTATCAGGTTAAAGTGTGTTGTACCTTAACAGATGAATTCATCTTTTCAGTAACAAGTGTCATCAGTTGGAAGCAGAAAATAAGGGAATAGTCTGCAATGTTTGTCTCAAATCAATGTGGAGATAGAACTAAATTGGACTTATTGTTGATTGATGCTATATGTTTGAACTAGGGATGAGCATTCAGTCGGTTGTTTGGTTTATAGAAGTTGGTTCGGTATTTCGGTTTATGGTTTGGTAAAAGTGAAAAAATCAATCTGAAATTAGTTCGGTTTGTTCTTTTATATTTATTTTGGTTCGGATTTTGGGTTTGGGCTTTATCATGCTAGCCTTTTTCAAATCTTCTCCTGACTGGTCATTCAATTCATCAGAACTTGTGGTAGCATAAAACCGTAACTTTTGCTTCCTACCAATGTAGTTTTGTCAGATAACATTGTTCATGTAACATAACATATTGGGAAATACTTCTACACTTGATACTTGATAGTTCAAAACTGACATTAATATTGCACCACAACTCATCTTTTCCTTATTCTGAAAAGCCTATAGACAAACACTGGAGGGAAGATATGAAAATTTGAAAAGAAACAAAGTGAAGATATGAAAACACAGAAAATTAAGAATTAAAATCCCCGTTCTTAATTTATGGCTCACAATGACTCAATGAATGTAAAGGAAATAAATCAGCAAACAAATAACATAAAGAAACAATTAAATTATTTTCCTTAAACTTCCTCTATTGGCACACTTGTCGAATGTTTTCTCAGATTTTGAAGAATGAAATAATTTCTTTCAGTTATCCTTCCAATCCTTTACAATATCCCTTCTTCCCTTTGGATTCATGCCAATTTCTCACACTATTAAATCACAATGGTTGAGCACGTTACTTACAAGTACAAATTTCGATTTTTCAGTTTGACCGATTTTATTTCCTTAAGAATGAAAACCGAACCGAATAACTGAAATTTTAAAAAATTAAAACTAAAAAAATAAAATATTCTGTTCAGAGGGTTTTTTGGCTTGAAAAAGCCCATCCCTAGCAAACTTGAAACGGACGGGTACTTAATTAAAACTGAAGTCAGCCAAGTATTACTAAATAGCAAACTTGAAAGTTGAAACTGACTTTTTGAACAAATACCAAATAAATTTTTAAATGGACGGATACTTATCCAAAAACACTGATCACTTGATCAGGAATAACCTGAGTGAACTTGACTGAGCTATGACCCAATATTAAATACTCCATTTGTTTCAATTTGTTCGCCTTACTTTCCTTTTTGGTCTATTTAAAAAAACTGTCTCTTTCTTAATTTGACAACTCTTTAATTTCAGAATTTCACATGGCATATATAAGGCCACAAGATTCAAAAGTCTTTTTTTATTTTCTTTAACTCTATGCCGAGTCAAACTAAGACAAACATATTGAAAGGGAGAGAGCAGCAAGTTTGAAATTGACTTACTGTATGAATACCAAATAAAATTGTTAAATTGAGAGGTACATATCCAAAAAGAACGATCACTTGATTGGAAAGTTCAGAATCCAGCAAGAAGCAAATGTGACACAGTTTAGAACAAAAACTACCTTGATTGACAAATTAAAGGAGGTTACGCGGTCACTTGCATGCCAGGCACGACTAATTTCATCTTTAAGTTCAGTTAAGCGTGAGACATACTCCTGCAGGGTGATATATTTAACACCTTCTTCAGCAAATCTCTGAGGATCATCTAGCTCCTCTAGATGTACATTTGCTGAGGGTTTCTCAGGGCCTACAATATTTTATCATCATAGCAATTATTGCCGATTAAATAAAATAGTTAGTCTACCATATCAAACAAGTTCAAATGATACCCCCTTTACATTTTTCTTAGCTGCATTAGAAAATAAAAGGATGAGAGAACTTTAAAAGTCCATGAAAATAAAGAAAAAAGCTTTATAATCACTTCTTTTGTCCTGTTTTATATGAAAAATCTTTGATTGAGCCACACAGATTAGGAACCAGATGACTTAATATTGATTTTGCACAGGTAGAAAACATTTGAAGTAGATTTGGATTAGGTATGCAAGTCATTTTTAAATGAAATAATGTATTGCAAGCTTAAATCAAAATGTTTTAAACCTTGTAAAATGTAGAATATTATTGGGTGACAACATATGTAATTAATTTGGGACACTTCAAACTAAATAATGAGCCACATAAAGAAAATATAGTGAGGATATATCATACCCTTGCCTGTCTTCATAATTGAGCTTGACAGCTGTAAGGAGCAATAAAAAAGGTCATACAGAAACCCAGAACAGTATTAAAACTGAACACAATAAAACACTGATTAAAATTTTGTAATTTTTTTTGTTGACACCCTAATTTTTCTTCTTCTTAACTTTTTCCTTCTCTTTTCTGTTGTTCATTTTAAGCAAAAAAGCTTCTGACTTGATCCAAAAGGTAGACAATGACAATATATTAATCTTAAGATGAAAATATATTAATCTTAAGGTAAAAAAACCAAGAAATTCACCACCATTTGCAATTTGCTGCAGTGTTAATAGAGTCCACAACCCTCCACCCAAAAAGAAAAACTTAAAAGAGAAGAAGGAAACCAAAGCACTTTGGGACAAAACAAACACAATTTCATTATAAGATGCAGCTAGCTACTGCATCATAATAAAAGAATTTCCATCTAATCCATTGAACTTGAACATAAATAGAAATTGATAGCTAAACCTTAAAACAAATTTAGGGTGTGCTTGGTATGAAGGAAAATATTTTCCACAGATTTGTTTTCTTAAACAATAAGTGATTTTCTTCCTATGTGGTGAAACAGCTGAGACTGTTAACCATATATTTTTACGTAACCACTCCTTATGGTGTTAGCCTCTGGAGGTCCATCAGAAGCTTGTGGAATGAAGTTAAAAGTAACTCAAAGGCAAAAGTAATGGATGGGAATAAGACCAGATTTTGGAAGGACATTTGGCATGAGAAAGGCAACATGGAAGATCTCTTTCCAGACATCTACAACCTAATCATGTTTCAACAAAGTACTATAGCAGATCTTTGGTCACCACAAGGATGGAATTTCATTTTCAGAAGAAACCTTAATGATTGGGAAATAGTGAGAGTTGCTGAATTCTTAAACACTGTGAACACTTTCACGGGACTACAGCCAGGTGAGGATAAATTATGGTGGACAGGAGATGACAAGGGAGTGTTCAAAGTCAACAAATCCTACAAGTTGATGGATCAGACAGATCAACAGTGCTCAAGTTGGCCTTGGAAGCAAATATGGAAGAGCAGAATCCCTCACAAAGTCTCCTTTTTTGTCTGGTCAATGGCTAAGGAAGCAGTCCTTACACAGGACAATGTTATGAAGAGGGGGAGAACCCTGTGTTCTAGGTGCTTCCTATGTGGTGAAACATCTGAGACTGTTAACCATCTATTTTTACATTGCAAGTACACCCATCATCTGTGGAGATTATTCCTAAGCCTCAAAGGCATCTCCTGGACAATGCCCAGGAAGGTGGCTGAGGCATTATTATGCTGGGAGGAAGCAGGTGTACATGCCAAGGATAGAGGTAGATGGAGAATTATCCCGGGGGCTATCTGGTGGGCTGTTTGGAAAGAAAGGAATTCAAGATGTTTTGAGAGCATAGAGAACAATGTGCAGAAAGTTAAACTAAACTGCATTTTACTTTTAGTCTTTTGGTGTAATCAGTTATACTCTAATGACACTGTCTCTATTATTGATGTGTTAGACTCAATTTAGACGTAGAGAAGTGAAATCAGGAGTACTCTTGTATATAAGGTTACAGTACGACCCATGTACTGTTTTGTGATATAATACAAAGTTACCAAGTTCAAAAAAAAACAATAAGTGATTTTCTTAGTTATTTTATGGTATTTGGTAAGTAAGCAAAAAGATATTGTCCTAAGAGCATTTCTATGTAATCTAGGAAAACACTATGGGGTGGGAGGGTAGGGGTGATGGGGGTGGGATGGTCAAGGGGTTGGGGCGCTGTGGTGAGGAAGAGAAAACGATCAATGTCATTCATGGAACTTGTTTTTCATACTCGCTCTAGGGAAGTTATTTTCCTATTTATAAGGAACTTGATTAACAAAATATTTTGATCAACCAAACATGAGAAAATTGAAAAACATTGGAAAAGGGTTTTCTCCGTACCAAACACACCCTTATACCTCAAACTATAAGAAGACCACTGTCAAAGGATCCACCAAGATCACCTTTCTTTTGGACAATTTGTAAGTAGCTCAACAGCATGTGTGTGAAGATTAAAGTGGCATACTAACCGAAGAAATAGAGATCATTTTGGAGACAGGAAATTTTTGCATCAAGACTTTCTTGTAAGATGTCCACTCCTTGCCCAGAAAATGAATAGCAATATCTCTATACGGTTCACCTGCGATTTCAGTAGACGTTCTTCCTAAACCCTTCATGGAATCCTCTGGTTTTCCATGATTCTCCCTTAATGGATCAAAGAACTCGTCCCTGCCATAATCCGTACCATCAACCTACAGACTCAACCAAGTGATTTTAAAATTAGGAAATGACAAAACATCTGAATATGCTAAGAAAAACAGATCCCGTGATCAATCATAGATTAAGGTTATTGACTTAACAATTGATGGACCATGGTGGTATATTGGTATCACCATTATAATCTTTTAAAATATTGAAGCACTAACAGCGGGTACAAGTTTAGCTACATATATGGCATACATAATCATCTGATTTCTTTTCCTGTGCTGGTTTTCCTCTTTTTCAACTAGCTTTTAAGTCCGTTCTCTTATAGGAGTAGTTTCTTTTTGTCTTAAGTATGTCTTCTCTATTTCTGTTTTTTAAACTGTAGTGTGGGAACCAGCTCGCTAACCTATTTTATCGAGTGCATGCATCTTCTTACAAGTGTGAGCTCTTCCCACCAAAACTTAGGCAGAAAGGATTAGGGTCTCCCGTGTGCTTCATTACTGCACAGGCTTGGGTGCACTTTGTTTGCCCTGAGTCTTAACATAAGGAGTACGGGAAGTCCAACTATAACCTGCTCTGGTGAAATTGCATTGCCTATATCCCAATAAAGTAGAAATCATGTGAACATGTTGAAATATTGATGTGAATAGATGGCTTGTAAGCATTGGACATTGTTCCATTGGGTGTGTCCATTAAGCTGTTATTTCTGTTAAGTTGTTAACTCTGTTGTATTAAGCTTAGCTGGCAGTGAGCTGTCAAAAGGTTATTAGTCAGTTAGGTTGTTATTGGGTGATTAGTGAGTAGATATTTTAGGAGTGGTCCACACATGTATATAAGGGTGTAGATACAGCTGTAAAGAGCAGTTCTGCTCATTTTCTCAATACAGAATTTCCTTTATCTGCTTCTTCCTCTTCTGAACTCCTCCATTTATTAGTTTGTGAGCTTCAAGCTCAAACTTTACCATGGTATCAGAGCAGTCAATGCTGGCTGTGTAGACAATTGACTGAGACTAGCTCAGAGTTTGTCCGTATAGCTAGATCTATTTTTTGTTTCAGATATCGAAGATTCATCAATGGTGGCAAATAAGATCGATCAGAAAGATCCTCTCTACATAGGTCCCTCAGATGCTTCAAGCAGGGCTAATCCCTATCAAACTAACTGAATCTGAGAATTATGGAGTGAGGAGCAGATCGATGAGGATCTCACTGTTGGGAAAGAGAATATGGTTTCGTAACAGGCTCATGCATAAGGGGACTGTATAGAGATGAATTACATGAGCAATGAGAGACATGCAATGCCATCGTACTGTCTTGACTGATGAGTACAATCAGTGAGAAACTTCTTAGCGGAGTTGTATATGATACCAGTGCTTTTGCAGTTTGGGCAGATTTGAAGGAACGATTTGACAAAGTATATCGAATGAGAATTTATCAGTTGCACAGGGAAATCACAACTCTCTCACAAGGTACTGATTCTGTTTCAACCTATTTCCCAAAATTGAAAAATGTATGGGGTGAATATGATGCTATTGTACCTTCACCAAGTTGTGGTTGTCCTAAATCAAAAGACTATGAAGACCATCAATAACAGTTGAGGTTAATACAATTTTTAAGTGGATTGAATGAATCATATGAACAAGCACGTACACAGAGCTTGTTCAAAGGCGCTACTCCATCTATAAACCAGCTTGTGCTATAATAATTGAGGATGAGATTCAGCATTCAGCTTGTTTAGTTACTGTGAATGAGAAACCAGATCCAATAGCTATGCGAGCCTGTAGAGATCAAGGAACTCAAAACTATAATCAAGGAAATTCAAACTATAGAGGAAGAAAGGTGTTTTCACAATGTGAATATTGTCATTTCACTGGACATACCAAGGAGAATTGTTACAAATTGATTGGCTACCCTGCTGATTGGAAACAAAGGAGGAAAATTGGAAATGGTAATGGCTATCCTAAGGGAACATCTGGTCATGGCAATTCTGTAGGATGTGGGAACTTTGGAACACATGGAGGTCAGTCTAGTAATTCTGGAGGATATGAAAACTTTGGACCACATGGAGGTCAGTCTAGCAACAATGGCCAACACTCTTTTGCTTAAGCAAAAAACATTTCTGGAAGCCATGGTGATCATAATCAGATTGCTTCAACTAGTCATGATGTGAATAATGTTTGTGTGGCCAAAGGACAAGTTTCACAGATGGTGAGTACAAGCAGATATTGAATCTATTGAGTAAGGATACAAAGGAGATTCAAACCAAATAACAAGCATCACTACTTGTTTAATGGTTAATGATTTTTCAAATGACTGGATAGTAGATTCTGGTGCTTCTTACCAAGTAGACATCTGTTGACAGAAGACCATAGTTTGGCCAAATCACAGAAGTATAAGGTGAATTTTCCCACAGGAGAGAGGATCTCACACATTGGTGAGGCATCTATGTTTGGAAGGCAAGAAATTGACTTTTGTACATAATTTGTGAAGATGGAAGAACGCCATTTTTTCATTAATGATGATGCATGTTGTGCTCTTTTTTATGAAGATGGGATGGGGTTGGGAATTTTTTTTACTTCAATTTTATACAATTTATTTCTTCTTGAATTTAATATTTATTCAATCAAATTTATTGCATTCACTCGCTTTAAAAGTTGTAATACCACGCACTCCATCCGAGTTAGCACTACAAGCCACATAAGTTCGCTCAATAATCAGAGGTGTAAAGGTTGAGTTTTATTGGGTTTTAGTGTCTAATTGGAAAAGTCATGAGTAGAAAGGGTTTAGTTGACAATCCGAGCCAAGTATAAGGGTCTTAGGCTATTCCGTCTTTTCCTAATAGTGCCTCTAGAGCATCTAAGTCTTTTGATATTGTGTAAGAGGGTCTGGATTACCATGATACTTTTTCTCCTATTGCCAAGATGGTGACGATGAGGTGTGTTATTTCCCCTCCAAAGGTCGATCTTTATGTCAAATGGATATTAATAATGCCTTCTTATAAGGTGATTTGTATGAAGAAGTATATATGGAGGTATATATGGAGATGCCCGAGAATTTTGGCCTGTAGGGGGAGAAGAAGGTTTGCAGATTGCTCAAGTCCTTATATGGCCTCAAGCAGGCTTCCAGACAATGGAATATTAAACTTACAACTACCCTCTTGAATGCAGAATTCATCCAGAGTGTACATGACTATCCTTATTCACTTTGAAAAAGAAGAGGGGAATGGTGATCATCTTGGTGTATGTTGATGGTTTACTAATCATTGGAAGCAATGTTCAAATGATTCATGAGGCCAAAGAAGTAGTGCATCAGCAGTTCAAGTTGAAAGATTTGGGAGAGCTCAAGAATTTTTTGGGCATTCAAGTCCTGAGATCCAAAGCTGGGGTCATTCTGTACCAAAGGAAGTACATATTAGAGCTCATTTCGAACATAGGTCTCACTGGTGCAAAGCCAGTGTCTACTCATTTAGAATTCAACTTGAGGTTGACTACCTTAGAGTTTGATTAAGCTACTGTCAATATAGGAGATGCAGTCTTGAATGAAATCACCTCTTATCAGAGGCTGATTGCGAAGCTTATGTATGCTACCATCACTAGACCTGATATCAGTTATGCTGTCCAAACTTTCAGTAAGTTTATGCAACATCCCAAGAAGTCACACTGGGAGGCTACCACTAGAGTGGTTAGATATTTGAAAGGTCCAGTTGGTCAAGGAGTTTGATTGCAAGCTCATCCTACTGAAGAATTGACTTGTAGGTGTGACTCAGATTGGGCTACGTGGCCCTAATACAAGAATATCAGTAACAGGTTATGTGGTTAAATTTGGGAGTTTATAGTGTCCTGGAAATCAAAGAAGTGGCAGACTGTTTCCAGATATTCAACTGAGGCTGAATACAGGAGTATGGCCACAGTTGTGGCAGAGGTGACCTGGTTGTTTTGGTTGTTCACTAAACTAGATGTTCACATTCGGATGCCTGTCACAGTATTGAGTGATAGCAAGTCTGCAATGCAGATGCCAGATAGCAGCCAACCTAATCCTCCATTAGAGGACTAAGAACATAGAGATTGACTGCACTTCATTCGAGATAAGATTAAGGATGATTTGGTGGAAATAGTGTATGTTCCTACACAGCAACAAATAGCAGATTTGTTGACTAAGGGTCTAGGACAAAAACAATATCATCACCTGCTGGGCAAGCTTGGTGTTCTTAACATATTACACCCTCAAGCTTGAGGGGAGTGTCGAAATATTGATTTGAACATGTGGCTTGTAAGCACTGGACATTGTTCCATTGGGTGTTTCCATTAAGCTGTTGAGCTGCTAATTCTGTTAAGCTGTTAACTCTGTTCTATTAAGCTTAGCTGCCAATCAGCTATCAAAAGATTATTAGTCGGTTAGGTTGTTATTGGGTGATTAGTGAGTAGATAATTTAGGAGTAGTCCACACATGTATATAAAGGGTATAGATACAGTTATAAAGAGCAGCTCTGCTCATTTTCTCAATACAAAATTTCCTTTCTCTTCTTCTTCTTCTTCCTCTTCTGAATTCCTTCATTAATGAGTTTGTGAGCTTCACACTCAGATTATATCAGAACACAAAAAACTTGAATGCAATTCTAACTTATCTACTTCTTAATAACTTTTTTTTTTATAATGAAGCACTGAGATTTACCTGTAACTATTTTACTTAAAATTTTCATTTTGAAATTTTACCCACATTCTATTTTGGCTAATCTATACAGAAAAATAGAAGATTTAATCATGATAATGAGTAGTTTGGCCATGAAATTTGATCCTGGCATTTGGCCATGAATTTTTTACTTTTCTCCATAGTTCAACTCCGGAAAACGCGTTTCGCCATAAATTTTCAACTTGAAGTTAGAATTTTCTAGAAATTCAAAAACAACAAAAAGGTGTTTTCACTTCAAATTACTCACAAAAAAGTCCAAAACAACTCCAATTTCTATTCATGACCAAACACAAAAAATTTAAAATTCATTTTTTTCACTTTGATAAAAGGATAAGGGTATACTTTGATTTTTATGATTAACTTTAACTAATATTATTAAAATCAGTTTAGATACTAATTTGATACATTAAATATCAATATTTTTTGGTACCTCAATGCATGTTTTTATTTGATGTCAGTTTTGATATTGGGTTGACTTCAATTTAGATTACAGGTCATTTAAAGTGTCAAATACGTATAAAGTGTTCATTTAGTGTATGTATTGATATTGAAGCTTCTACGAAAAAAATATTTTATTGTGGAAATTGATATGTAAAATGGTATACCCATTTCGTTTACTATGAAAATGTAGGATACAATCAAGTATCTTATGATAATAATACACAATTTCCTAACTTGGTGAACTAAACAAAGTATGCTGCTCTTTACTAATGGATACCATTTTTATTCACTTTTCAAACAATAATAAAAGATATAATAATTCATGGGGTATCGAATTTCATACAGTAAAATATTTATATACTAATTTACATAATTTTTTTATACAGTAACACTTATAAAAGATATAATAATTTACAAATTTGTTGGATAAAATTCATACTTATTTTATATAGTAAAATATTTATGTATACTAAGCTAAACTTACTAATTGATACCAATATGTTTACACTTTTAAACATCAATAAAAAGTATAGTCCACAAATTTGTTGAGATATCAAATTTCATACAATAAAATTTTCATGCATACTAAACTAAACTTTTAAATTTTTATACATGCTGTAAAAATTTCTTTATGAACCAAGAAAGATGAACAAATATCGTTGAGTGTGGGTGATATGTGTTTTCTTTGAAAAATAGTAGAAAGATAGTGAAGAATTGATAATGATGTGGAGAGAGAAAATTTACTGTTGGTTAACAGGGAGAAACGTGTTTAAGATAAAAAAAATCCCTTAATTGTAGTAATTGATTAGTAAATCCATTTTCTCTTTCTTAATAATTATGCTAACACTTAATAAATTAAAATATGTTAGGGATAAGGGTCTGAAAAATACCCCAACTTTGGTCGGATTTGCTGTTGCGATACTAAACTTTCATGAGGACCTATTACCTCCCTAGACTATTTAATATCGTATTTTAAACATATATATTTGTCCACGTGGACATAAAAAATAATGCAAAATTATAAATAGTAATGTATCCACGTGGACACAAATATACCTTTAAAATACACTATTAAATAGTTCAGGGAATAAAAAATACGGTATTAAATAATCTAGGGAGATAATAGGTCCTCATGTTTAGTATCGCAACAGCAAATTCGACCAAAGTTGGGGTATTTTTCACGCCCTTATCCCTTTGATAAACAAAATCTACTTTTTTTTCTTCAAATTTTTCACAAGGAAACATGGTCAATAACCAACTTAATTATTCAATCATGATCATATGTAGTTTGTGTTCATTACTTTGTTTAAAACCCTGATCATACTGAAATTGTTCACCCTAGATTCCACTTTTTGTACAATTTATCACAAAAACTTAATACTTTACAACATTCTCCATTGATTCAAATGCAAGCAGTAGGTAATAAGTTGCTGCGATTAATATAAACGAGGAAGAGAAAAACAAATTGAACCTGGTCAGACGACGGTGATTGAGGAGAGAGAGGATGAGTCTCTGCTGCCACACGAGAGAGGGAGTGAACTTGTTCTTCAGCTTTGTAATCTCGATGTCGAAATTTGAGTTCCATGAAGAATCAAAGTGCTGTATTTGCCAAATTGTGCAATTAGCTACACTATGCTAAGCGGTCCGATTCGTGCAGAAGAGCAATCAAAGAACAAATTCTCAAAGGAAGAATTTCATAGAGAAAAGAGTCAATTTTGGGAAGGAATACTTATGAACTATAGAAAAGGGCATGATATAACTTCAACTTTGTCATATATATATACTAGATATAGGACCCCGTGCCAGCA